TCAGTTCAGAGTTGATTGATTATGAGCTTGGAATCGCCATATACCTCAAGAGCTTTGATTTCCATGTTGATCACCATTTGGAGCCCGATGATCAATGCTTGGTACTCAGCAACATTGTTGGAGCATAGCTCATTCAGTTGGAATGAGTAAGGTAGTATTTGCCTTTGTGGCGACATGAATACTACTCATGCCCCCGCTCCGTCTGCTCGTGCGGATCCGTCGAAGAACATCGTCCATGTTGGGAAGATGTCGATGTAGAACACCTCCTCGTCAGGCAAGTCGTCTGAGATTTTCCAATCAGCTGGGATTGGATGATCGGCAAGGAGCGTTTGGTGCTGTTTGCAGTTTCAGCTCGTGCAGGCAATGAGCGTTTAGTGCCGTTTGCAGTTTCAGCTCGTGCATGCAAGGAGCGTTTAGTGCCGTTTGCAGTTTCAGCTCGTGCAGGCAAGGAGCGTTTGGTTGCTGTTTGCAGTTTCAGCTCGTGCAGGCAAGGAGCGTTTGGTTGTCACCTTTTAGGCTCGTGCGAACGAGGAGCTTTGGTTGTCGCCTTTTAGGCTCGTGCGAACGAGGAGCTTTGGTTGTCGCCTTTTAGGCTCGTGCGAACGAGGAGCTTTGGTTGTCACCTTTTAGGCTCGTGCGAACGAGGAGCTTTGGTTGTCGTCTTTTAGGCTCGTGCGAACGAGGAGCTTGGTTGTCACCTTTTAGGCTCGTGCGAACGAGGAGCTTTGGTTGTCGCCTTTTAGGCTCGTGCGAACGAGGAGCTTTGGTTGTCGCCTTTTAGGCTCGTGCGAACGAGGAGCTTTGGTTGTCGCCTTTTAGGCTCGTGCGAACGAGGAGCTTTTGGTTGTTGTTGTGGATTTGTCAAGTGATCTGGGAGAGGCGTTCCTCGCAATCTTCATAGGAAGGAGCCTTGACCGAGTAATTGAAGAAGTCTTCTGGGAAGAGGTCGCACATTGTGATGGGGATGGACGATCTTTGTGTCGAAATTTCATTATCTCCAACACTTTCACATTGTTCTGGAGGTTGATAAGAGTTGTTTTGCCCTATTTTCGACTGATAAACTTGTGGACAAGATGGTTGCTGCTTATCCAATTTCTTCGAAGCGATCTTCGAACTGCATTCCTCACAATCTTCATAGCAAGGAGCCTTGATCGAGTAATTGAAGATGTCTTCGAGGAAGAAAAGATCCCGCATGAACGATCTTTGTGTTGTAATTTCATCATCCTCAACATTTTCATGTAGCTTTGAAGGTTGACGGTAGCTGCTTTGCCCCCTTTCCGATTAGTGCACTTGTGGAGAAGACATATGTTTCTCGTGCAGTTTCTTCGGAGTGACATGAGTCCATCCTTCAATTTCACTTGACTTGGAGCATGCCCCCAACAGTCGAGGTGAAGACTTTGAGTCGAAAAAGCCAGAAGTGACATCTTTCTTAGGGATTTCATCTTCAGTGCCGTCCTCTTGGGTTTGTTGGCATGAAGATTTGCCAGTGTGGACGATGATGCGCCTCTTTACCTTCAGTGGTCCTTTTGTGTCGACCTCTAGGATTGCTTGGCGCTTTATCCTTGAAGGAATCAAGTTTCGAACGTCGCATTTTTCTGCTAACCCATCAAACTTTTCTTCCTTTGGTGTTGTCTTCCTCTTTCCAAAAGGCTTCTCATTATCTTCAAATCTTTCCGAAGCTGATCGTCGCAGAGGAGAGATAGCTGTGTTGCTTTGTTTCTTAGGCTTTAACAACCTTTCAAAAACAGAGCTTTGGGATGTTGGCGCGCTAAGCCTCTTGAAGACAGAGGTTCGGCCTTGACTACCAATGTGATTAAGCGCTGAAATTCTGGAGCTTGAATGGCTCATCCTATCGAAGACTGACGTCTGAGGGGCGGGTTTAGGCTCTTTTTGGTCTTGTTCAATGCTCACGCTGATGTGTTGAGCGCTAGCTTTCTTCACTTTGCTTGAAATCTTCACGGGTGCATTTGGTGTGAAGCCAAGTCCGGCTTTGTTGTTGTCAACTCCATAACCATGCTCCTTCAACTTCTTTTGAGTTTTGGTGAGGTTACGTTCTTTGTCATTGACGGTGTTTGAAACCTTCTTTCCAAGATTTGAAGAGGAAGCAAAGTCATGCCTAGCCTTTGACATGAGTTCGTAGGCATTTGGGTTAAAGCCTTCTTCGGTCTTCTTAGTTGGAAGAGAGCTTGGTTTCATTTTGACGCCATGTTGTGCCTCCAGACGGTTGATGAGTCCGGCGGTTTGCAAGTTTTTCTCCTCTGCAGTCCGTGTGAGCTTTGCGATTGCTTCATTCATTTGAGCCAGCTGCTCCTCGATTGAAGTTACTCCAGTGGTCATGACTTGCATGGTTGTATTGCCGCTCGAATCAGCGTCGGAGAGTAGGGACTCTGAGTATTTCCTCAGGCTTTCCCCTCTTGATGCCCTTAGCGAGGCTAGGGTGATCACAGACTCGTGCCTCAGGTGCTCTTGTTCCTTTGACAGAGTTAATGTAGGGGCGGAAGCCGCGGCAAAAAGAGCTCTTACCTTACTTCGGGTTATGGTGCCCGAAATATCACCACTTACGGCGATGATGTTCTTGTTCTTTGCTTTGATTGCAGGAACAGCTTGATCCTTTCTTGATGCCATTTGCGTTTTTCGATGATTTGAGGATAGAGATGAGAGGTAGAGATGTCCCACTGGGCGTGCCAAATTTGTGAACACGAAAGTTCCTTGAAACAAGAAACACGAGAATAACGTGTACAAAATAATATTTTGTGTTTATGATTTTGGGGTTACGATCTCTCTTGAATTTGGTCCTCTGATTCTATCTTCGTAAGATGTAGATTTGTTGATCCAAGGGCCGTCGAGGGTTGATCTTGGATGAACAGTTGTAAGTTTCTTCAAGGGCCTTTGTGGTTTTGATCTTGAAGGTTGATGGAAGTTTCTTCAAGGGCCTTCGGGGCTTGATCTTGAATGTTGATGGATGAGCGGATCTTCAAGGGCTTTTGGGCTTGATCTTGAAGAACAGTTGGTTTTCTTCAAGGGCCGTCGAGGCTTGATCTTGAATGAACAGTTGGTTTTCTTCAAGGGCTTTTAGGCTTGATCTTGAAGAATAGATGTGTGGATTTGTTTATTGATCCAAGGGGCCGTCGGGGCTTGATCTAAGGATGAACAGTTGATGAATGGATCTTCAAGGGGCGTTGGGCTTGATCTTGAAGAATGAGTGTATGGGTTTGTTAAGGTCGTTGATCCAAAGGGCCGTTGGGGCTTGATCTTAGGATGAACGGATGATGAATGATGAACGCTTTCTTCAAGGGCCGTTGGGGCTTGATCTTGAGTTGTTGGAAGTTCTTCAAGGGAGCTTTTGGGCTTGATCTTGAAGAACGGTTGGATGTGTGGATTTGTTGATCCAAAAAGCCGTTGGGGCTTGATCTTAGGATGAACAATTGATGAATGGATCTTCAAGGGGCGTTGGGCATGATCTTGAAGAATGGGTGTATGGGTTTGTTGAGGTCGTTGATCCAAAGGGCCGTTGGGGCTTGATCTTAGGATGAACGGATGATGAATGATGAACGCTTTCTTCAAGGGCCGTTGGGGCTTGATCTTGAATAATGGTTGTGTGGATTTCTTCAAGGGCTTTTGGGGCTTGATCTTGAAGGTTGATGGAAGTTTCTTCAAGGGCTTTCAGGGCTTGATCTTGAATGTTGATGGATGAGCGGATCTTCAAGGGCTTTTGGGCTTGATCTTGAAGAACGGTTGGTTTTCTTCAAGGGCCGTCGAGGCTTGATCTTGAGTTGGTGGGAGTTCTTCAAGGGCCGTTGGGGCTTGATCTTGAAGGAGGATTTGACGAAGAACGAAGAGTGCTTTCTTGATCCTTCGGGATTTTCTTGAGAGCTTTAGAACTTTAAGGCTTCAAGATTTTGGTGTGTGTCGGTTTGTTGAGGTTGTTGATCCAAAGGGCCGTTGGGGCTTGATCTTAGGATGAACGGATGATGAATGATGAACACTTTCTTCAAGGGCCGTCGGGGCTTGATCTTGAATAATGGTGGAAGTTCTTCAAGGGCCGTCGGGGCTTGATCTTGAAGGAGGATTTGACGAAGAATGAAGAGTGCTTTCTCCATTCTTCGGGATTCTTGGGAATTTGGGGGTTGGATGCTTGAGAGCTTTAGAGTTTCAAAGCTTCAAGGATTTTGGATGTGTGGGGAGTATTCTCTTCCATTTTGAGAGTAGAGAAATGTATTTGTGAATTGGTTGATGGTGTGTGTAGAGAAATGTATTTGTGAATTGGTTGATGGTGTGTGTAGAGAAATGTATTTGTGAATTGGTTGATGCTTGATACCTTGATGGAGAAGCCTATTTATAGGCTTTGAGAATGAATCACCACCACAAAATATTTTTTTCCTTTCCAAGCACCATTGCCTAATTTTCCCACTTAATGCAATATTGAAATTGAAGTGGTGTAACTTATGGCCTAATTTCCCACTTAATACCATTTTAAACTTGAAGTGGTGTAACTTATGGCCTAATTTCCCACTTAACACCATTTTAAACTTGAAGTGGTGTAACTTATGGCCTAATTTCCCACTTAATACCATTTTAAACTTGAAGTGGTGTAACTTATGGCCTAATTTCCCACTTAACATCATTTTAAACTTGAAGTGTGTATGCTTTGTCATTGCCCAAATGAGAAAAACTTGCTTTGATCCGTAATGGATTGAAGTGTGCTTGCCTTGTCATTGCCCAACATGAGAAGAAAAAACTTGTTTAATCCTTCAAGGGTATTTCTTCCTATTTTGTTGAGTCACACGCCATGTGTACAATTTGTACAACACGTGGCGTATGCCATGTATGCCTTGACACGTCAAAACTTTAATGCATTGGTGAACATTTGTTTTTACTGAAATTTCGATGTCTACAGGGACCCCTGAAAATTGTGGACGACTCTGGTTCCAGTATTTTTTTTCTTCTTCTTTTAGTTATTTTTACAATTCGGGCCGAAGCCGAACTTATAAAAGCAATAAATGTATGGGCCACTAAAGGTCAAGAATGCCCACAGGAGTTGCCCAAATTGCAAGATACGGTTTGATGGTCTGAACTTTTTATTCTTTCATGCATCACCTTTGGGCGGATTGCGGAGATTGTTGATAGGGGGACTACTTGTAATTAACTTAACAAATACTAATTATTAATGCAACATATTTTATAGTATATTCTGGCAAATACTTAATGGGTTGCGGGTGGCAACACTCTGGTAAATATCGAGCTAATACTGCGAGGACACTTTTCACTACCAGAAGAGCCATGCTCTGATTTTTTGCTTCATGGCTGCTGCTGTGTGTTCTCTCAGCCAGGAGTACAGAGAACTCCACAATCGTGGAATCGATCCCTCCATAGGTAATCAACCCACTTTAATTACTGCACTGCTCCGTTAAAGAAGATTGCTCTATCTTACTGTGAATCATGTTCTAATGAATTGAACCAACCCTGCATGGCTGATTTTGAAGGGTGGCAAGCCAACGTCGAGAAGTGGAACCGAGGAGGAGTGAAGCCTCCGATTATTGAACCAGGCATGGATCGTTAGGCTGCGATGCTTCCTTTTTTATTAGTTACCTCTTTAAATATAGTGTGATATGTCATGTGAAGAGACCGATAAAAAAAGAGAATTGCAATGAAACCAGTTCGTGCCTTTTGGGTGCCTCTTTATAAGTAGTTTAGATTCTCTTCTCCTCTCATTTTATTTTTCCTATTTTTAGCTTTCCCAATAATTTTTTTTAATTTTTTTTTTCTTTTAACTAAAATTCTTCTTTTTAATTTTTTTTTTTTTAGCTTTTTCAATAAATTGGATTGATTATGGTTTTTTTTTTCTCCAATTTTTTGTGACAAAAGTATCCCTGCTATTTTGTTTCTATTATTTTTAGTTAGGTGTAGATATTTTTTGTTTTAGGGGCATTGCCGTCCAACTAATTTTTAGTGAAGATTGGGACACCAAAATTGATTTATAGCTTCCTAATATTAGAGATTAGAGATTAAAGATAAAGATAAGAGTGGTTGAGACTTTGTGAGTTCCACGTAAAGTTATGGCATAGTATTTCTTAAACATGCCTAGGGGTGGGTTCGGTTTCATTTGGTTCGATTTTTTGCCAAAACCAAAACTAAACTGAACGGTTCGATGTTCTTTCGGTTTTTTCGGTTCAGTTTTTTTTGCATTGGTAGACTCGACTAGAAATAAGGTTCACATTATATATATATATATATATCTTGTATATATTATATATAAGAAGAGAAAAAAAAATCTCAACAGCCCACAAATTGAAAAATCTCACTTTCAGAAGGGCGATAATTCTGAGTTTGTATCTTGAAATTCGTAAAAACCCCGTAATAGTAAAATCATCACAAAGAGAAAATAAAGTTACCTGCATCCCTTCAACACCACTAATGCCAACTCCAATATCAGCTTCTTGAAGCATGCCAACGTCATTTGCACCGTCACCAACAGAAAGTGTTATTTTACGTAGTTCTATCAGATTACTTGATGTCAGCAACTGGCCTTATGAAAAGCCTTTAGATAATTTGAATGGATATGCTCATGAGCATGAACGAGATACTTACAAGAGCTTTCTGTTTGGGCGTAGAGCGGCAGCATATAACAGAAGCACAAGTAATTGGAAGCTCTAAGAACGATTTTTCGACATCCTTCTTGAGACAAAATTCCAAGGACTTCCCATCAATTATCAAGCCAAACGATTTGGCTTGGTTCGAACTTTCTTTAGCTTCATTAATTTGCAAAATACCTTCTCCAATTTGCTTCCTTATGCTTGCAAGAGAAGCCTTAAAAAAATCAAGGTTTCAGAAATTACATCACAGAAAAAGAAAAAAGCAAGGAAAAACTCGAAGGAAAGGCTGTATGACAGATTGCTAAAACCCGGTGACTCAGATTCGTAGGTTATTTCTCCTGATGCTTTATCCACAACTGGAATGGCCGTATGACAAATTGCTAAAACCCGAAGGAATTTCTGTATGATATCCGAATGAGGTTCATTGACCCACTGCCCATTCATGATGCGTTCGTCTCTAAAGTTGAAACCCGTTATTGACTTTCCAGAGTCAACATTATAACTAGCATGAGCTAATACATCACCAGTTTCAGGCAGTCCATTGACTCCGTCCTTTCTGTTTGCCAGCGCCCTTTCCAAATATATTGGTATTAAATATCCATACAACATAAGCGCTGTCAAGAAATGGAAAAAAGCTGCAAGTGCTGGTCTTTTGGGGTCATAAAACACGGTTGAATGATCTGGACCAGGATACCACCTTCTTATATTTGCACCACTTATATCCCGTCTAGTGTTGATTCCAAAAAAGAGAGATCCAGTAAAGGCTATCACGACCAGAGAACTGAAAAGAATGTAGATTATCTTATCCATTTTCCTCTCGATTTTACTTCCCTTTGAAGGAGGATCTGTTGCATTCTGCATCACTTTTGTGTCGTGTCCAGTAAAGACGACGACACCATAGACATATTCAGTATCTTTCATCTTAGAATCTCTTAAGAGCATCTGTTGTAAGGAAAGCGAGTAAGGCTTTCCATCATAGAACAATGTCCCAACAAATGAATACAGATTTTCATTTGGGTCCTCACACTTGATCACCGCTTTAAATTTTTCCAAGGAATCTTCATCTTAAAGATGGGATGTCACCTCCAATGCATGCTTCAATTTTAAGTTAGTTTCTCCATCAAGGTTCATAGTGTCAACATAGCAAATCCCATCCTCATAGCTTGACGAAAGCAAAAGCAGATCCGCAGGAAAGTACTCATCCTTGCGCACCTTCACAGCATCTCCATCCCGGAGTTTCTTCCATCTGGTCTTGTAGAATGTACAATTCCACCATAAACTCTAACCCTTCGACTGTTTGCCTCAATATCTTGAAAAGTTTCGAATTTATAACCAACTCAATTAGGAGAAACAAATATAAAAAACAACCAAAATATTAATTTTGAGCTACTTCCTAATAGCATTGATCCTACAACAACCAAAATAACTACATATTCTAAACCTTCCCTGCATATAGCACAATTCAAATGCAACTACACTCTATATTCTTTACAAATAATCTGTAAAAGCGCTTTCAGTCATTTAAAAGCAATTCCTAAACGAGCCCTAATTCAAATATGACTATACAACTTCAAATAACTAATAATACCAATACCACAAAAATGGTTACCTGCTTTCTTCGCCTCCAATCTTCAACGGCTTCCTTAGCCATAGTAGCTCCGATCACCACTATCAACAGCAGAGCTACACTAACAGCTCTAAAGGGGGCCAACGGACTGAACGAAGTTACAAAGCACAAGCTATAACGAGAAAGTATATATATGCAACCCTCCTAAACTACTCAAACAATGACTTTGGAATGAAGTTCGCCGTCGTGTACTTGGTAGTCAAAACATAATTTCCCTTGTATCTCAACTCAAGTGCCTCCAGATATCACCTATGAAAATTTTGCACCAATTTCTATGCCAACAAAGTGTCAAGACAATTAACACAAATCTACCCGAAATTGACAAAACCCCATTGGAGGAGGAGCTCAAAGATCAAAACTTGAGCAACACATCAGAACATTGATTGAGTGCCTTGCTTACCCAGAGCAACAAAGTGGGTGCACAAAGTTTGCATCTTTAAGCTCCATATTTATCTCACTGATTATTTGTTTCATAAAGCTAGCCTCTTGAGTGTGGCAATTGGCTTTTTTCACTATTTTACTATTAATTTTTGTTTTTTAAAAGTTTATTTATTTCAAATATTATTGCTTTTTTTTAAATATATATTGAATTTTGCCTTTATATATATATATATATAAAATAAAAGTGAAAATAAAACAAGAAAAAGGTTGATATAAATTGGAGCAAAGATGGCAAACCTTGTACACGGCTAAGCAAACCAGGTGGGTGGAATTTCAGGAAACCGTTGAAGTTGTGTTTTAGAGAATTCCTTACTTCCATTGCAGGCTCTGCGGAGATCTCTTGCTTGCGGCTGCTTGTTTGGTTTCCAGCTCAAAATCTAGAGAGAGAAAGAGAGGGAGGAGGATTCTCTACCATCTTAATCTCTCTACCCTTCCATGCCCTCTTATTTGAACGGTCACTGTTAAGCCACGTCAACATCTTATATTGATTTTTTTTTATAGAGATAATAAGACAAAAAGCAATGTATGAGAAAAGGAGATGGAAGGGGATGGGAATAGGAGGGTAGAGAATCCTCCTCCGAAAGGGAGTGGAGAGAGAGAGAGAGAGAGAGAGAGAGAGAGAGAGAGTGAGTGAGTGAGAAAAAAAAAGTGAACTTTGTATGAGCAGTAGTTGTTAGCTTTGCCACTTTAATAAGCAATGGGACAGAGAGAAAGAGAGAGAAAGAAGTAGATAAAATGAGACTCGAACCACGGAATCAACCCCTACAATTTGATACAAATTGATTATGTCTCAAATTTAAAATTCATTAGTAAATTGTAAAATATATAACTGTGTTAAAAATTGAAATAGAACTATAACGAAACGTGACGGTATTTGTGGTCTTTGTGAATTTGGTAGAAGGAATTCGAAGAAGATTCCTTTTAATTCGGATAAACTAGAATAACGGTGTACCAATACGATATAAATTGATGTCATTATTGGGTTTGTTTTCAATGTGGTCTGAGCCTGTAGGGAATGAAGGCAACGTAAGGTTACATGAAGATCGGTCACAATCTTTGCCCGCACACGTGGCTAACTGTGATTCTGCTTTCTTGAGTCCCTTCTTCCCTTGGTTAAACAAAAGTTAGAAAGTTAGAACCATGCATAGGCATCACCTTTGTCTTGTAGCTTCTAAATAACTTTGAGGAAATATTCCGTTGGAATGTCCTAAATTAATTGTAGGAAATATGTGGTGCGAGTTGATAACTCTAACTTTGGTTACAACGAATGTTGTAAAAGTTCTCAAAATCGATTGGAAAACTATTAAGGAAAAAATTGAAATTTTTAGCTTTAGCAAATATTTTGTCTTGGAGTTAAGGAAAATATTGCAAGATCTTTGGATATGATCATACCGCTTATTAGGTCTCAAAACTATTTTTTATTGATTCTTAAAGTGGAAAATTACAAAAATATCTTTAAATTTAGGTTTTAAATCGTTGATTTCAAGTGTTTAAATATGAATTATAATAGGTTTTGTATGGAAAATATATTTTGAAGAACATGAAAATTATAGTTTGTTATTATGGTTAGAGAAATAAAAGAAAAATTAAAAAAGAAAAAAAAACTGAAAAAGAAAAAAAAAATGAAAATGGGTGGATCGGTATTAAACTAGCGACTTTTATGGAATTTAGTCGCTAAATTGTTAGCAACTGATGGCCGATTGGATCAGTACCAAAGTACCGATCGTATCATTTTCTATTTTTTTCTCCTTTTTTCTTTTTCCATTGAATATTTTTTTCTTCCTACATTACTTTACTTAGATTGAAATTCCTTTAGATTAAGATTTATATCTTGTTTTCAGATTTTTTGACATGGATTATAAGAAAATTTTCATCGAAAACACATTTTGTAGAACATGAAGATGATAGTTTGGTGTTGTGGAATGGGAAAAGCAAAACTTAAAAAAATAAAATAAATAAAATAAAATTAATGGTTTAGGTGCAGGGAGACGCTAGCCCAAACTCATGCCCTTGGGAAGGCCTAAGGCACAGCAAAAGTAGTGGAGGCCCATGAGGTCTGGGGTTTAGCGGCGTGTGAATAGTAACACCTTGAGTTCAATTGTTTAGGGGTGTGTGAATAATAACACCCTGAGTTCACAACACGTTTTAGTGCCCAACGCACTTGAATTCTTTTCCCACACAGCAACGTGGCGGAGAAATGTTTTTTTTTAAAGAAGGGGTTACTGAATTAAAAGTTACGACTTTAGTGTGAATTCTATCATGGTTAATAGCAGCTTATAAATGCCCCAACCCCGGCAATCATACTTCATCCCGCCAACCATGGTTGACCCTTGAGATTAAAACTAAACCCTACTCCCTATTAATAACCACCTATAAATACCCACCCTCGACACCAATGCTTCATGCAAGTAACAACGGTCGAGCCATGGGATTAAAACTAAACCTATCCCCTATAAATGCTCTACCCCGACACCTATGGTTCGTACGACAAACCATGGCTTACTTGTGGGATTAAAACTAAATCTTACCTCATTACCCCTATAAATGCCCTACCCCCAACACAATTGGTTTGTACGGGAAACAATGGTTGACCTGTGAGATTAAAATAAACTCTACCCTATATTGATAGCGACTTGTATATACTCCACCTCTAACACCAATGCTTCGTGCGAGCAACAATGGTTGACCTATGCACTTGGGATCGCATTGTTTTGCATACGTTAGGCTACCTTGTTTTGTGTGCCAAGTATTTTCGTGCGTTGATCTCACCTAGTTTGGCGTGCACAAAGCACGTCTTGTTTTCCGTGCGTTGATCTCATAATTGGTTCGTACGGGAAACAATGGTTGACCTGTGAGATTAAAACTAAACCCTACCCTATATTGATAATGACTTATATGCGCTTCACCTCTGACACCAATGCTTCATGCGAGCAACAATGGTTGACCTATGCACCTGGGATCACATTGTTTTGAATGCGTTAGGCCACCTCATTTTACATGCGAAATTTTCATGCGTTGATCTCACCTCATTTTGCGTGCACAAAACACGTCTCGTTTTTCATGAGTTGCGCTTGCCTCATCTTATGCGCCAAATTTTCGTGCGCCCCATCTTTGCCCACATGAAACACAATCTTTGTCTGCACACGTGGCTAACTGTGATTCTACTTTCTTAAGTCCTTTTATAAAGTTAGAACCGTGCATAGTCATCACCTTTGTCTTCTAGCTTCTAGATAACTTTGATGAAATATTCCGTTGGAGTATTGTGGTCGTTGATAAAAACTAAAAAGTTATATCTATGTTTGGAAGAGAAAAACTACAAAAAAAAAAAAAACTAAAAACTAAAAAGATAAGCTATTGTATAGCATTCTCAAAAAGAGAAAGATTTTGAAAAGATAAGGCATTCTCATGTGAGTGGCGTTGTTTCCCACTTGAAATCAACAGTGGGACTACTCTTTCAGTCTATACATACAGTCTTCACATTTGAGGATTTCTTTAGAGCAACTCCACCCTAAGAGTCTAAGACTTTGCGCCAGCACCCAACGCATTTATCCACTCAGTGAACAGTGATAGACTCCAATGAACAGTAATAGGCCAAGAGCATCTCCATCCCTAAAAAAAAATAGCCTAGTCAATTTTATTAAAATATTATTATTATTTATTATAAAATAATAATTGTATTATAAAAAAAAGAAAGATAAAGTCATCCCTCTGTACTCTTCCTACCAACCGGTTCTCTCCCTCTCTCTCTATTTTCTCCCCCTCTCTCTCTTTTGCAGCTCACTCCCGTGAGCTCTTCTTCTCATTCCTCTTCAAAACCTTCAACAAATCAAACACAAAATATTATTTTTGTAATCCCTGGAGCTCAAGGAACCCAACCATGGCCTTGCATGCGGCATCGGTGCATGGTGCGAGATCCCACCATTGAAACCGAGAGCTTGAGCTCTCAATCTCTAACCCAGGTGATGTTTCTATCACTGTATCGTGTTCCTGAGCTTTAAATCCTGTTGTGTTGCAATTTTTGTGGTTAATTTGAGGGCTTAATTCCCTGCATGTGATTCCGACAAAGGAAAACGGACAACTCCGACGAGTTCAAGGTCCAATCTCGGTGAAATCTCTTGCATTTCACCTGGGTAAGTTCTCAATCCTATTCTTATGGTTTCTAACATATAAATCGTGTTGGAAACCTTTGTGTTGATGCAAACTTGCTGTCAGTGCATTTTTTTTCAGATTTTCCGTCAAACTCGGGCCATCATTTTCAGGCCATTTGCCTTCTCCCTCCGTCGCTCCATCCATCGCTGACATCACCACGGCGTCATATGGGCCGGTCCCAAGGTCTGTCAATTTTGGGCTGGCCTGGAGACCAGCTTGGGCTGGGTGCCAGGCAATCCTGTGCGATGGAGGGACTTCCCTAGGTGCCGGGCCATTTTTTTGGCTGTGTGCCGGCCTATCCCACCCTCGGTGGAAGTGCTCTTAAGGTATCCGTCGAGTTCATATATTGAGATACTTTGAAGACTTCTATTATGACCCATTAGTAGTCTTTTGTCTCTAGATGGAAGGACTATACTGTTGTAGGAACTCCATTTAGGGTTCCCATTGGAGATGCTTTTATATTTTTGCCAACGTTGTTATTAGCAGTTTTGATAATATTACTCTTCAACGTTAGAATGTGAGCAACTCTACCAGGTATACCCTAAAAACTAATTGGCAATGTTCCATAACATACTCAATTCAGATACAAGTGTTATACTAATGCTACCAAATTACTGGTTAAAAATTTGGTCAGTTTGAGTATGTGACTAGCTGTAAACTCTTGTCTTTTTATAATGCTGAAATATAAAATGCATTTGATGGTTAATTAAAATTCAACTATTTATATAAATCACTAACGTTACATATGTAATAAATAAATTCTAAACTTAAATTTCAAGTTTCTTGAAGCAATAATGGCGGTTTAGGAGTCACCTTGGTGCAGTCGACCCTAGTGAGTCCTCGTCCGGTTGACAAAAAGAGTCACATGCTTAGGTGTTAGGACGAACAAATTCTAAAGGAAAAAATGAAACACACAAACTGTGCCATGTGCAATTACGATAGGTCTCCATTCCTGATATGGATCTCATACAAATTCAAATAGTAAGAATCCTCACATCTTAGTCACACATATAATGTCATCGTCGTCAAGTGAGATCACAAAAATCATCATTGACAAGCAAGGCCACATCACTCGTTAGGCAAGACATTACCCGTTAGACGCTGTACATACGAAACATACATTAATCCGATAACGGTGTCCACCGTTGGCTTATCTTCACCGGCCAAGTCCTCTCTACCTAAGTGATACAACAACTGCAAGATCCGCTACTCCTATAAACCAAGCAAAGCGAAGCTGCCATATGAACCTGGCCACGTAAGGGTAGCGCCGCCGTGAATCAATCAAGAAAAACAACACCCTTAAGGTGAACGGCTCCGACCCACCAACAACTAATAAACCAACCACAAACCTCAACAAACCATGCCCATAATCAAGAGAAAACCCTTGGGAGGGGAGTAGATTTCGAATTAGGGCTCGTGTGTATCTAATCAAGTTACCAATTTTTGTCCCTTTGCGCTTCTGTCCAATTTGTGGCAAAATGTTGCTAAACTTGAACAAAAATTGACCATCCAATTATGCGCACATACCATAGCAAACCGATACTCATAATTGACCTTTACCTTCGTTTACGTTCAATATTATATGGATATCTTTTGATAGGTAAATTTTATGAAGATTTATTTTTAAAATACAAGTGATGGTCTGCTTTAAATTAATCTAAACTATGAAAGGTGAAATTTGAATTAGAATAATTAATTAAGTAATTAAAAGAAAACTTCTACACCAATTCAAGCCCCTAAACTTGCTAATTAAAGATAGTTAATTGTCATTAGTCATCCTCATTATCTACTCATGAACAGTGCAGACGAATTTAATAAGCATAACGAATAGACATGTTCTTAACGTAGGTGCATGACATATTCTTGAACTTGGATTAATTTGCACAAAGATAATATGCAAATCAGCATTTCTGCATCTATATCCATTTTTGACCGCAAACAAAGTATTTTATGTTCTTCGATCTCTCTCAAACTAATTATTTAAATCCCAAACTCTTCCCTTCAGCAACCCAACTCACCATTTCCTGATCAGGAATCCGAAAACAAAAAAGCACTTTTGATTTCAGAACTCTTTATCAATAACTCGACATGGAAATTCACACAAACGCTAATCTTGCATTCGAGGATGAAAGTGATTCTGTCGACGATGATGATATCTTTTTCGCCGATATTATAAGGCAGATTTTGGCCTTGACTGCAGACAATGAAGATTTTCCGGACGCAAAAAGCACGAAATATTAACTCATTTCGCAGTAATGTCACCAAACGTCCTGCAGGTCACCGTATGTCATCATCACTTGGATATATAAGTTGGTTGGGAAATAAGAACAGTACTAATTATGCAGTGCCAGCTTCTCTTGCGAAGTCATGGGAAAATAGCAATGTGACTGGGACTGGAGTTTTTATACCACAAGCTGTAAAATCCAGAAGAGATTGCAGGCCCAGTAAGCACTCTAATCCTTTCTTAATTAGTTTAGTCTTTTCCCAGAAAGAAAAAAAAAAGATTTTATTCAATTTTAATTCGTCAATGACTAATTTTTGGCTGGTGTCCGACAAGAAGGATGAACGACAGGAGAAAAACTTACAAGCAGAGTGGAGAACTTGAAAAAGCACTCATGAGTACAAGTATGCCAACCTCAAATAATGTCACGGCCCCTTTCAAAACAGAACAGATTACCTAAGGGCAAACATTTTGCAGTAAAAACACTGCAAGCATCATGTGCCATAAGGAAATTAGGGAAGATTTAATTATTCCATTTTCGAAGTGTTATATTTCATGCCAAGTACTAGCAATTGTGACCCAATTTATTATTTTAGTTGTGTCAAATGACAAAACACAAGGAATGCCACATTATTCAGTTGTATCAAGTTCGAATTGCAGGATCACACCTGGATGCTCAAGTATCTATGCCGTTCTAAACAGAATAGTAATCTTCATACTCGCTTTTTCTTCTCATGCAATTTTCTTAGTTTTTCTAGCTTTTGAATCGGATAAATTATAACAAGAAAAAAATGTCAAAGGAGAGAACGAGATAATGCAAATCATTACCCTTTAAATATTAGGCGAGACCCGTTTAAAAGCCAAGGGAACAACTTGCCAGTTCGTCAACATCTCCAAAAATGCTCAGTCGTCAGTCCCCACTGACAATCTGATGCGATTAGTGTAAGCATAATGTTAAATTAGTATACATCCACTCACCCATGCCAAAGAAGACATTCTTTTACTTAATTACATGTTAGACAAATACCATCCGAACCCTTCCTAATAGTCGACATTTGGAAAAGCATCATATGCAAGGGGGGAAACGGGGTCTCAAGTGCCTGATTTACGTTTTTGATAGTTCAACCATCTTCATGGTCTCAGCACTGGAGCTGGTTTACTAATAGTGGGGAAATTGCAGATTTAATTTTTCGTAATTCCTAAAGCAGGGCGGTCTAGCTGGGAGTGATCAGCATTAGTCCCTAGGACGCGCTTGCCACAAAGAACTGAGTGCTCGGAGACGAGAGAAGTAGTCACTGATGACAAGAAGGGCGCGAGCTGCTTGGCGAGTGGTCAGAATCCTATGCAATTGTTGCAGAGTCTGCTGTCTCAAAAGGTCGGCCTAACAAGTAAGAAAGTGTGCGAGTTAGTTTTGTATATATCCAAAGTATGTGCATAAGATATCATAAGCGTGCACCGTTACCTGGTAAAGGAAATTCTCAAGTGTGGCCAGCTTTCCCATAGCAATTGCCATTTGGCCCATGTAGTCGGCAACATTACCAGAACCCGTGGGGCAATGATTCGCCGAGGAAAGTGTCTCCACAAGAGATTGTTGTAGAGCTTCCATTCCTTGTGACAAGGCATCTTCAGCCTGTTGGGACGATTGCTGCAGATTGCATACTCCCATCAACTGTTGATCTGTTAAAGGCTCAAGGTGGTTCCCAAGTATCTGAATATCCAACGATAAAAACACGATTACAGATAGGCCAATAGTGAAGTGTATACACAACTTAGAAAACGAAATCTATAGAAGATTACCTTGAGAAGTTCAGAGGAGCGGAATCCACCCAACCACATAAAACACCTTTCAGTGGGCGTCTGCCACATGCCAGAGAGCATGTGAAACACATCAGTCTTGGCAGCGATGCTCTTCAACCTGAATATCTCATCATAATGTGTCATTACACTATCAACGAGAATCCGCAATTCATTATCTCCCATATGGCAATTCACAGCTGATCGCATATCATGTATTAGCCGCTGATGTTCCTCAAGCCAGTGTGCATACTCCAAGTCAAATGTTAAGGCCCCTGACATGTACAATCAGTTATCAGAAACCACTGGATCAGGGCATGCACATCCAACATCATACCGTACATCTACAAGTTACTCCAAATTACAAACGATTGCTCATTGAATTCAAGCCACAAGAAATTGTAAAACCTTTACTGCATTTTACGAATCAATTTCCTTGATTACCATTACTAATTACAAGTTTTATGGATCTAACTGACATAACATATACCATTTCCTGCCACTGAATGACCATAATCCCCTGGAAGTCCATTTGCAATAAATATACCCTGCGTTGAAACACCAACAAAAGAGATGAATAATTATACCCACACACACACGCACATATTACAGATGAAAACTACAAAGTTGTTCACCTGCTGGCGGGCTCGCTGAAGCTCTTGCTCCAGCTGCGAAAGCCTAAGTCGACTATTTTCCAGCTGCTGGACATATGCCTATGTATCCAAAACCAAAACCTATAAATGATCCAAGTATGTTTCATTCATCAACTTAAGACAATGCAACTTTTTCATTCATCAGTTCAAGGATGCAGAGGCTCATTAAATTTTTGGGAGATCATCAATTAACTGGGAGGGCACCAAAGGTAAGAAAATTAAAGGAAGGGAGCAGAAAGTAAATGGTTAAAAGCGTAAAACCAACCAAATGAGAAGTGAAAAAGGGGAGGTAGGTTAAGAAAATAAGCCTTTGCTATCAAAGAGAATGAGAAGGCTGAGAAGCATTCAAGGCAAACCTAAATTTTATAGGCCTGGCAGTGAATCTTCAGGGCAAGTCTACACCAAGATTTTATGTCTCAACATACAGAGCTAATAGATTGATACACTAGGTTCCTGACCTACACCCGGTATGCCACTGTGGCACGTCAAACGAATAACGTGACCCCATGCGTTTTAACTTTTTCACGTGACGACACATTATTCTTGTTAAGATGTCACGGACTATCAGAGTTAGAGACGATGAAATTTTAAAGAAAAGGACACTCAAATATGTGCTAATGGAAAGTAAAGATGCATACTTTCTTCCTTAGTCGACTCTTCCTTGCAGCTTCTCTGTTCTGGGCCAGCCTACGTAGCGTCTGCAGATAAGTTAGCTTAATCGGATTGGCATTTAAGATAGAAAATTACTTTTTAATGAAATAACTTTGGTTATTAATCTAAATATTCTAACCTTTTGATCACCAGTTCTTTCCTTTGCCTGCTCCATGGAATCCACTACCACTAGTGCTCCATGCTGCACTCCATGAAGCTAAAACAATATCATAATCTCACACTAATCCACTTTGAACTAAAAAAATTAGAAAGCTAAATGAAGTTTACGGGGCAAAATTAGGCAGATTCAAAGCAAATCAATTTAGAGATGGTCCTTGTTACATTATTTAAGGTACTAATTGAATTGAAAGCCTTTTGGAAGCTCTTTTTTAACCGACAAAGCGACAATCTAAACTGCTCTAATATACGAGAGGGAGATTCGAACTAAGGCGGAAGCGGGCGAGCACACAGCTCGATAGTCGAGACAACATGGATGGTAGTCCAAAATTCCAAATGTCAAAAGATTCTCAATTCCATTAGCCTATAGAAAGATTCCCGTGAAAAAGTATAGTAGCAGATATATGCTCATGAAACAAAGACCAGAGAGAGAGAGAAGGAGATACTTGGTTTTTGTCATCGGTGTCAACATCCGTTGAAGTGTCAGTCTGCTGGCTGTTGTCAGCCATGGCTGAATTATCACCCCAATTCTCAAAGTGTCCATTTCCAGACGACGTCGTTCCTTTCTGCTGCTGGTACATGTATGGTTGCTGCTGTCCTGTGTCCACACACCCTCCCCCTCCTCCTGTTCCGGTTATGGTGGAGCCTATGTCCAAACATCCCCCAACGTTCAACGCACCGTAGTGCAGGCCATCAGGTACAACACTAACATTGTTTGCTTTTAAGCTGAACATGGAGCCTGCGCCTGATTAAAACCCACATATTAGAGAGAGAGAGAGAGAGGGAGAGGGAGAAAGGAGGAGAGAGAGAGAGAGAGGATACTTGGGCATAAAACAACAGCATCATCGTGAGGGAAGGCGGTAGCGGACTGTTCAAGCTCTCCAAGATCCGCAAAACGCGTTTGGTTCCGGTCACTGTCGTCTCCCCTGTTTTTTCACACCGCGGAAAAAACAGAGCAACTGGGTTATTTTTACTGCTGAAAATCTGCATACTTCCATAAATTTGAAGACTTTTATGTTTTTTACCCACAACCCAGTTCTCATATGCCATTAAAACAAAAACAGTAAGCAGAGGAGAGAGAAACCTGAAATAGAAGGACGAGTGGGAGTAGAACTCTGGGTTGGTTGAAGCTGCTTTGAAGCTCTGCATCTTGTTTTCTGATTGGGTCGTGATTCCTTCTGCCTGTTATCACTTTATTAGAACAAAGAAAAGGTAAAACAAGATGATCTCATACGACTTTTTACAGTTGGAGAAGAAGAAGGTGGGGTGGAGAGAGAGAGAGAGATCGCAGAAGGGTGAGTGAAGTGAAGAAAATCTTGATGTGCTTTAAGAGGAGGATAGCGTATCAGGACTCCCTTCTTAATAAATTTTAAAACAGCAGGCTTTTTATTATTGCTTTCTGACTTGGGATTTTAGCTTCCCAATACGCCAGAGCCACAGAGAGAGAGAGAGAGAGAGAGAGAGAGAGAGAGCTCCTTACATATCCTGAGTCTCTCCCTTTGGAGCGTTTCTGTCACTCTCTCCAGTCTTGGCCTTTTCACTCCGCTACAAGCCTACAATCTCCGATTCTCTGCTCTGCTTTTGCTGTCAATCAAAGCAAAATTCAATGTTTTTGAAAAACCCAATCGAGAAAATGATCTAAAAATTAAGGAGGAGCGTCGGACAACTTGTCCATTCAGCCCAAGACAAAAATAAGACCCTATTTTGTTTATTCTTTAGCTCTAGGGTCTCTTCCTAGTTCCTTTATTCAAGTGTATACACTAGTAGTGCTGACAGTTCTTTGCATTGATGCTCTCTTCTTTCTCTAAAACAACTTTCATGAAATTGATATGTGCCGGTAAATCAGGCCAATTAGGCATTGTGAGCATGAATCTTGTCATCCGATTGCATGGGAGTGATTTTTGTACAACTCCGTCATGTCATTTTGAAATTCTTAACGAATAATAAAATGTCAAGTTAAGAAGTTAACATATAGATCATTGTATCATAGGTATTAGTTGTCACAGCGGTACTAAAACGTAGGCAAGGCATTTCCCATTATAGGTAGAAGAAAAGAAAAATAATGTCGACATCTTTTTACAATGACGCACGCTTTTTTTTCTTGCAAAAAAACTTCAACGAAACTCAAATTACTGTATCAAGTTAACCACTCACTTACTACGTAAAATTATATTAAAACACACGACAATTCGAGATTCACTTGAAATACCAACTCAATATCACTCATTTGTGTAAGACTAGCTTCGCTCTCTTCTATCTCTCTCTCTCTCTCTCTCTCTCTCTCACTCTCTTTCTATGTAATCCATCGATCTCCGTAGACTATAGAATTATTATTTTACTTGTAGGACTCCAAGTCCTGCAGCTGCAATATACGAATCATGGGGAAGCGTGTGAGCGCGCGAAAAATGATGGGATGTGTAAATCAGATTATTTTGCAGATGAGGCCAAAAAGCAATAAAAGTAAAATATATTTTGTAGATTTGGCATTTCCTTCCTGCATTTTAATATTTGGATTTAATGGGATTTTAATAAATAAGGCGTTGCTTGAAAGGAACCTCTTGGTAATGGCAAGGCAGTTCCAGTTTCAGCCGCGCTTAGGCCTCTGTGTTTGTGGCAGAGCCACCAGAACAAAAACCACCGCAGAACCCTGTCCTGCATCTGTTGTTGTCAATATATTGGGGGGTGGGGGTAAATAAATAAATATCGTGTATTTGGATTTGCAATACATTTATTGTGTGTGCCAAAGCCGAAAGAATATGACGCATTTCATACGGCAATCGTACACTTTGATGGCGTGTCACTTTCACAACTCTGCTGCTGGTTTTTGGTCTTTTCTGTGTTATCTCTTGATGCTCAATCCCCCCACCCCCCTCTACAGTACTTGTTGGTGATGCAATGTGTGTGCCCCTCACGTGACCTTTTGGTTCTTGCTTCTTACATAAAACATTTATGGTCGTAAATGTTTATTTAGCGAGTAATATAAACTCGTCGGAAAATTACTTTCAAACACTTCCTCAGAAATCATATGGAAGTAGATATTTCAAATTTGACACCACTGCAATCACACGTTTGGCGTTTTAGTGTAGGTAATTCCCTCCACATTGCGGGCCACCAGTAGGAGAAGGTCTTCAGTACAGCCTCATTAGAAGGAAAAGAAGCTTTTCCCTCTCTAGCTTATTTCCTGAAATGATGCTTCCTGCAATTTCTGAGCTTCTGGAGTTTACTGCTTTTGTAATGTTGCATTGATGACGAACACAAAGTCTCTCCCTTTGTGACTCCTTTTTCCTTGAGCTAAATATAGAAAAATGTTGCCGTAAGCCCGCAACTGGTTTCCAAAATTGGACTTGGATGTTTTGATTTTTCAGACACAGAGATATATATTTGATAAAGGCATGCAATCTTTGACTACATATAACAGATACAAATCAAAGTGTACTCTTTCCATGAATTGATAATTCACAAGTTACATAATCGAGGCCCCGAAACAAAAAAAATCAAGTTATGGAGAACAAAAACAAGTGATACCTCCATGGCTATATCCGGCTAATGGAGTGGAAGTAACGAATGCATCACCGGAAAAAACCTTGGCAAAGCACCTCCACCTGGATATGATATTGATTAATAATTGAATGCTCGAGAGAACAACGAAGTTGCTTGCCTGTCTCATTCTTCACTCCTCAACTCGAATCCAATTCCGTGAAGGTATATGGACATAGCTATGCCTAACCAATAACTTCAAAAAAATGTTTCTACCTATCACATTTTCCCTCTTCTGTGAGTGACAAAGATCCTATAACAGTGTATATTTTATACCGCTGGTAACTTTTCAGGCAGGGAGTGTTTCTTGTGTGTGGTTATCAAAGCGATGGTGGGTTAACCCTTCCCTCGCTCGTGAGCTCCTATGTTGAAGACGCTGGTGTAGCATCTCTGACATCTGGTTGAAGAACTCAGCATCCCACCTGTGAATCAACAAGGGGTCTTCTGCGTAACAGATATAAATAGATGTAACGGCACTTTCCACTACCACCATTGCTATCCCCACCTGCAAATACATGATCCTTGCTAAGGTATTATACTCTCAAGAATATGAACAAAATTAAAGATCCTGATTCAAGAAACTTACCAAGACCATTCCCATCAACATTGCAGTGGACCCCACCATAACCACTCTGTCCCTATACTTAATCCATGTCCAGATCCCCGCGGATGTTCCTGTAATAAGCCCGCCCAAAACAGTTCCCATCAATAAAACAGCACCTGAACAATCATAGGCAACAAGAGCCTCCACTCCAGTAGACTGAAATAACTCCCAGGCATCCCTCGCTGAATGATTGAAGCCTTTGCCAGAAACAGCTATCTGTAGGCAAAAGGTCACTCAGAAGTAACTACTACCACACAACTTAAAGAAAATGGCAAGAACTAAGTGAAGGTCACTTGGGGATGAGATAGCACAACTTGAAAACAAGGATGATCAGTTTTAGGCAAAAAAAAATGTTGTGATTAGATACAAGGAGAGCACAACGTGCAGGGAAAATCAAGATGTTAACTTAAAATATAATCAGCAGCCTGCCTTTGTTTTTCACTAAAATAAATATTACTGTTGTTGGTATTAAGGGTAACAATTTTGGTGTTCCTTTTAAAAAAATGCAAGGATTGGTAATTGCTGTTGACTTTTTCCAATTACATACAAAGGTTGTGAGGTTTCTATGCAACATTACTTGCAGTGCACCAGTTCTTTTTGGACAAAAATATGTTGATTCAATCTCAATTGAAAATTGAAATGACAGCGTTTGTCAACAGAAAGCTACCTGGACATAGGCATACTTGTTAAAGAAACGGACAAGTGTCTCCACTAGATTAAAGAGAAAATCAACACAGCAAAGTAGACACTCATTGTTGCCTATCTTGGACCGAACTCCCCTGATCTGAAATATGTTTCGGAATTGTAAGAACTAAGATACTAAGATACTCACTCTCAAACTTAAACAGAAATATTAGGAAAAATCATCGTTCAGAAAAGCAAACACATGAATGTGTACCTTCCACCGCAGTGTCCGAATGAAAGCTGTGAAAAGTGAACCATAGCAGATACTGCCAAAAGAAGTTGTGACTGCATACCGAAGAGACTTCATCAGTGAGTTTGGAGGCATTGATGGTGCCTCCCTACCACCATGGATAAGAACAAGAAACACCATCCCAGACACTATAACATGCACAGTATTACAGAGTACTGCCCCCGTCCAAAATAAGCTTATAGAGAGAACCTAAGTACATATGTGACAGCATTATTAACGTCATTAGCTGAGGCATTGTAATTGTTATATTGCATTCATATCCCAATAACAATAGATGAAAGAAGAGCAAAACTTGCCAGCTCACCACAAGAAGCCACCAGCGTCCACCATCACCAATGCTTGAAGCTACAACACCAGCTGCCCCAAACGACCATAATACCATCCAAACAAGCATAATAAGCATGAAAGCATATGCTACTCTCATAACTTCTTGTAGACTCCATACCATCTTGACAGCAGCTTGTAGCACCAGCATGGTAAAGGGAAGTCTATTTATTAACAATAGAGTCAGAAAGACTGCAAGGGGATATGATCATTCCATTCCTAATTTAATATACATTAAGACATTCTCTAAGTGCAAAGAATTGTTCCTCTTGCAGCTCAAGAATGGCCCAGTGGCCTATCTTGACAATCAAGTAATAGGAAAGCAAAAGGTTGAACCTCTGCAACCTAAAAACAGCATATACAACTGGGTAAAACTTCTTCAACACTCGACTACTTGGGACCACTCGCGATGTATAAGATATAATTTTCACAGCAGAATAACCCCAATCACGTGCCCTAATTCTAAAACATAGGCAAGCCAGCCTCACAGTATAAATACCAAAATGTGTATAATTACATCCATATATGAAGAATACAAATTTTCAGTTCAGCCAACAGAGTTTCACAATATGCAGCTAAAGGAATAGCAGCCCAAAAGAAAATTTAGTATGCAGGTTCCAGTTTGTGAACATAAACCTAGATATTGCATCTTTTTCCACTTTATTCACTTAATAGTTCAAAAGAAATCCTTTTCAATTGTTTATTTTTAATTTTTTAGCCAAAATCCCACTATAACGGTCTAACAGAAGAACCAACATGTAAGATCTATAGGCCACATATAAGTTCAAACAAAATTATAATAAACTATTAAGTTTACTTAATCCTGGACAATTATTTAGAATTGTAGGATACAAACTAACAATGAAATTTCGAAGTCATACCTGTCCACAATTGAAAGAACATACATGAACTGCAATGCAGCACCAATTGCAAATGCAACGCCCCAGAAAAACTGTTCCATCCAAAACAACAGAACACTAATCACAGCAAGATAAGTAGTCAAGATGTGAACCGCAAACTTCATC